TTTGCCCTTTTCCTTCTCCCTTTGCCCCCCTCCTTCTCCTCCTCTTTTACAGAAGACCAAGACCTTTAAAATCAGATCATCATGTATTCATTTGCCATTTAATAAGCACATGAAAAACTGTTTAACATCATTAGTCATTTGAGAAATGCAGATTAAAACAACACTGATATTCTATCTCACCCCAGAAAGAATGGGTATGATCAAGAAATCAACCCATAACAAATGCTGGAGGGGCTGTGGGGAGAAAGGAACCCTCCTCCCTTGTTGGTGGGAGTGTAGACTGGTGCAACTGCTGTGGAAATCAGTCTGGAGATTCCTCAGTAAACTAGGATTAGAGGTCCCATTCAACCCAGCTATTCCCCTCCTGGGTATTTTTCCAGAAGAACTGAAAACATCATACCACAGCAATATATGCGCACCCATGTTTATAGCAGCGCAATTTCTAAAAGCTAAATCTTGGAAACAACCCAAGTGTCCATCAACAGAGGAATGGATAAAAAAGATGTGTTATTTTTATACAATGGATTATCACTCAGTTATAAAGAATGATAAACTAGAGGCTTTTATAGGTAAATGGATGAAACTAGAAACCATACTCATAAATGAAATAAATCAGAGTCTCATGTGTAAACGTTGTATTGTCTCCTTACTGTAAGAACGTGAAAGTGTTAATAAAATCTGAAAGGTAGAACAGATATTGTGAAAGGGAAAAGAAACTGCTCAAATAGGAAGGAGCAACTGGGTTGAAAGATGGGAGAGGAAAAAGAATGAAGGAAGAGGGAAAAATATGTATATGTATACACAGGATAGCTAGGATAATTGTACTACTAATATCTATTGGTTTATTGAAAGGAACTGTTAATGTGTAATTGTTTGATCAATCTCACATGCCTATATCTCATTACATGTGCAACCTTTCTGAAGATAACATTATGTAATATAATGACCATTATTAATATCCTATCACCATGTTTTAAAATTCTGTATCATTTTCATTGTTCTGTATGCTGTTTAGTTTATGTATTTGTTTTTGTTATTTTGGGTTTTTTCTTTTCTCTTTAAAATGAAAGACAAAATTTATATGTATATAAAAGTGTATCTGGGATAGGTGTATTGCTGATGTCTGTGGTTTACTGAAAGGAATAGTCAATGCTTAAAATTTTCTTTTTCCTGGACCTATTTTGCACGCGTGAATCTGGTAATTAGAATGACTGATTTGACAACAAGGATGTGCAATATAAGAACCATTCTTGAACTCCTATCATCTTGTATGGTGGAGATCTGCATCATTTCCAATTTTTACTATTACTTGTTACTGTCTTTGATTGTTTGATCAATCTTACATTCTTACATCTGATGGACTGAGCAACTTCATTGAAGATAACAGGATGTAATGTAGCAACCACTGTTAATTCTGATCATTTTGTTTTGAGCTCATGTATCTTTTTTTTTTTTTTTTTTTTTTTTTGTTTTTGTCTTCATTGCTGTTTTGTTAGTTTTTTTATCTTCAAAATAAAGAAACAAATCAGCTTATCAATATTCACAAAGTGTTGAGATTTGCTTGAAATTGTATTGAATCTATACATGAATTTGAGGAAAACTTTTTACATCTTTGAGCCTGGCTATGCATGAATTTGGAATATCTTCTTATTTACTTAGTGTTTCTTTGATTTCACTTATTAGAAATTTGCAATTTTCTTTATACATAAATTTTGTACATGATTTGTTAGATTTATCCCTAATTTCTTCTTTCAGATGCTAATATACATGGTAATGTGTTTTCAATTTTGAATTTCACTTATTCATTTCTGATATGGAGACAAGAAATTTACATTTGCATATTAATACTATATCCTGAAAACTTGCCATAATCACATATTAGTGTTAAATGGGTTTTTTTGTTTGTTTTTTGCAGGGTTTTTTTTGCTCATCCATTTGAATTTTCCACACATACGATTATACCATCTGCAAAGATTGTTTGTGTTTATTCCGAGTTTTATTTCTTTCCTTTTCCTGTCTTGTTGCATTACACAGTAGTTCCAGTACTATGTTAAAAACAATGATGAGAAGGAATTTCCTTGCCCCCTTACTGATGTTAGCAGAAAAGCTGCAAGATTCTCAAGTACAGTATTAGCGATAGAATTGTTTTCTTTTAGATGTTCTTTCTTGACTCCAGCTTCTGCAGTGTTATTGGACCTTCAGGGCCCAGATCATAAATCTCAGAAAGTTTCTCAAGGGCTCAGAGGCTTATTGCTGGCTGCTTCTCCAGTGTTCTGCTTCTGAAGATTGTAATAACCAACACCACCCACTAGTCTCCCCTATACTGCTATCAGGTGGTTTGGGAATAGAATTCTTCAGAGACTATACCTTTCCGCCAACGATTTCCCCAAGAATCCAAGATGGTGGCTTTACTGCAGATTGTAAGAATATATCCCCAGCAAGTTCTGTGAAAGGCACCAGAACAACTTCTCTGCCATCTGTAACCATGACTTCCTCTCTCCCAGTAAGGTCTAGATCTCAGGCCTGGATAAAGGATTGAGAAAAACTGTGCTTGGATACTCTCTTTTACACGTAGAGGCTTTGATTGTGCCTTCTACCTACTATTTTTACATTAACCAGAACCCTCTTTTCATTCCACTTTCCTCTTATAGTTGAAAACTCTTACACTGAACTCTCTCTGTTCAAATTAACATGTGATTTCTATTTCCCACTTAGACGCTGACTGATTGGATATTCAAAACAAAAATTTTCCCTCTTATAAGATAATGTGGCAACCTTCACCAGAAAGGAAATAAATCATCTCATTTTTTACATATGAAAATTGTCAATGAGAAACTAGTCAATTTTTTGACTCTCATGTCTGATATAAAATTTAAAATTCTGCTAATCTTTAAGTAATCCTTCTTCACTTTAATTAAGAGACATGAAGCAATTGTCTAGGGTAGTATCTGAAACTTAATCTAGGATAGTAACTCAAATATTTAAAATTAAAGGTTGCAAAGTACTTTTTCCTTCTTGGGCTACAAATTAATATTGGCTTCCTGAGTTGCAGCTCACTGATACTTATTTATTTGAAAAGCCAATTTCAAAGGAATCTCATTTCCCTCTCAAACTGGGAATGCTGTAAAACATAAAGCCATTTTGTCAAATCAATAATAACCAGATTATTGTATTCTAATACACATGCCAAGCAAGATTAAATAGGACACTATACTTACCAATAAAAATTCACTAAAAGAAGTAATCTGTTGCACACTGTAAACACCATAAATTTTCTTTGTTCAAAATAAGCATCAATTGGTTTGACTGTATAATTTTAAAAAGTTACCAGATTGTTCAGAGGAAGGAAAAAATGCATATTTACATGCTGCAAAGGTATTTTTCTCATCAATGGTGAACAAAGTCTCTGGAACTATTATAATTCTCATGTCTAAAAATTACATGAATACCCTTTGGAAGCCCATTTCTCAAAGTATTGATAAATGTGCATGACTTAAATTGTATCTTGTTTATACTTACAAGTAGCATACTATTCTTACATTTAAATGTATCAATCCCTAGAGAAAGTGTTACATTACTATTCACATTTTCAAACTTTGAATTTTAATCACCAAACAAATGTTCTGTCCAATTAAGTTTAGGAGTGCATTTTGTTCTAACTATGGTTTAACTTTGCTGTTACTGCGCCACTTCTTAGCTAAATGAAAATTTGGTAAATATGATGACTTCTATTTTCAAGTAAATGAATTTTATGCAAACTCATTCCCACTGTCACACAACTAATTCCCCATTAGCATTATAATCTACTAAGTTTGTGTGTGATAGGCAGAAAATGAAATGGAATTTCTCTTTCTGATGGAGCTAAATCCATTAGAGAAACTTCAAACCATGTAACTAAATGGTCATTTTACTTCACTGTAAAATAAGTGTCCTTTTTTCTCTTAATTTTAGGATTCTGTTGTAGAGTCAGCATTTAAAGCAACATCTCCATGAAGATACTGACTAATGTTTGTGCTCCTTCATTGCATGGCATTTATTCCTCTTTAAATAATCATCAACTATTACTCAAAGTTTAAATTTTATAAAATTTTGCATGGCCTTAGGTTATATGTCACTTGGAATCTCCATTGATTATATGTTGTATACAATCACTGAAATGTTTCTGAAATGTTTTAAGTGCTATGCAAAGCCCTGAAATTATGTATTGCTTTGTTGTTTCTGTGTTATTTTCTAAATGCATGTGTGTGTGTTAATACGTTTTCATTTTTATCTTTAAAATAAAAAAAAGCCCTAGCTTTTCCTTACAAGTGGATTTTTAAATCAGATGTTTCATTTGAGGTGCCAAAGGTGCTAAAGATAATAGACATCAAAGCCAGGCAAGAGGATCTACCAAGGAGGAAGCCTTGGGACAGATCACGAAGCTAGTATGTGGCTGTTGTATTTTCACTCTATATGAAGGTATAAACAGCAGGAGCAGGGGATGTGTATGAAGAGAAAGTTGTGTGCGTCCTTTGGAGACAGTTGAACTCGACAACTGAAATAGGAATATAATGTAACCCATACAGAGTGAGAGAAGGTTGGACTGTTTTGTCAGCAGAACCAGAGATGGCACTGCTGATTTAGAACTAGTCCGGCTCTGAAATGTCATCGGAACGCATTTCTGAGTGTGTTCAGCACATCAGATCTGGGAATCCATGGAAGAGCAAGCTAGCTTAACAGTACTTTGTCTCCTGCCCCATAGAAAAAGTAGAGGGGAAAGGAGATTGGAAGGAGAGCTGGGGCGGGGCCCACCTCAAGCTGAGCAGGTGGCTACAGCCAGATGAATGGAATGAATGATTTTCCAAGATTATGAGATTCGCCATCCAAGAAGACCTTCAAAAGATATAGAGGCATCCAGGGAGGAAAAACTGAAGAGTAAACCAGATTATGATGTTACCACTCAAGAAACAATGTCATAGTTTATGTTCCTTTCCTACTGCCCTTTTGCAGCCCTGGCAGGGCTGAAATTTACAGCTCCAGAGAAGAAGGAGGAAGGGACAGTCCAGAGTGAAGAGAGATGAGGCTGACAATACACAATTGCCTGCACACAGGTGAATGACCAAAACCACGCCAGCCAGAGAGAATTGAATGAAGGTTGCGCCTTAACTAATACATTGGTTGGACAACCTGTTTTAAGAATTGAGACTGTATTGGCGTAAACAGTGATCTCAAGACTTTCTGTTACCCCAGTGTAATGACTTGGTGGAGGAAAAGCTTCTCTTACTGAATTTACTTTACATGAATGCTAGACACTAAAACATGTGGATTTTTATGGTTACACTCTAAAGCCTGCACTTGATCAGTGATTTCTGTTATCTATAAAAATCTAAAATTTGAATCTGAAAGACTCTGATTATAGGTGTGTAGGGAAAAACATGAATAAATGATTTATTTAAGTTTACCTTCATTGATATCAAAAGAAAAATGGGTGTGGAGCATTACAAAAAACACCTATCAAGGAAAACAATGCCTATATTAATTTAACTGTGCAGCAGTTTTATACTTAGAAATAAAAATATCTAATATGTGCTATGTACTCATTTTGTGCATAACACTACCCTGGGAATTTTGTAGTAAGAACATGTATAATGCTCTCAACAGTTCCCTGAGGTCAGCAATGCTATGATCTCCATAGTAAAATGAAGGTAACAGAGGCATAGAGAAAGTGGTGACTCATTCAGCTGAGCAACTTACTAAGTGACAGAGATGAATCCAGACATAGAACCTTAGCCAATACTTATTACAACCAAAGAAAAATATAGGCAAGTGGGACTATTAAGTCCATCACAGATCTCCTACTCTGATCCAAAAAGACAGCTCATATGTGGACAATTACCTATCCATCCCACAGTATTCAGAGGACTCCTTTTACTTTTAATTTGCACATATCACTTTATCTTTTCTATATAAGGAACAAGAAACAGCAGATCTAATACAGATATACCAAATGGTTTTCAGTTCAAATAGCTGGGAATGCATGTTTGAGAAAAAATTTAAGACATCTATCCCTGAATCAGTTTCTTTTATTTTATCTAAAAATTCTTTTAAACACTGAAATACCATTGGCAGAGTACTTCCGAACACACTCGATGTCCCACACTGGGAGCCTAGGAGCATTAGACAGAACAGTGAGGATCGTGAGTCAGAGCCCAGATCCTCCGTACTGCAATGCCATGTGTAAGAATTGAAATACCATGGGCACCTTAAGATGTTCTAATAGTCAAACTGGATAGTGAAAATGGAAGTGCTTAAGAACTGCTTAGTAATATTGCTGACTATAAATATATAATCCTCAAATAATATCCTAGAGTCTTACTATCCTTTGTTGACTTACATTTTTTAAAAGCTAAATCATTCAACAATAATACAACCTAGACAAAATATACCCTTGAGAATACACAATACATAATCAAAGGGGAGGGTGAATTTCTACTAAAATTAACCTTACAGTTTATAAAAGCAATAAATGCCTTTTGAGTAATATTAAGAAAATAAAGGAAACTATAAGGAATATAGAGACTACCTATAATTTTACCACCCACATGTAAACACTGGTAGTATTATAAGCTCTTTTTAAAAAGGAAGATCATATTATAACCATTTTGTTTAGTTCAGTTAACTTAATGTGTTGCACATTTAAGCTAAGATTCTTCTGAATCATACTTTTATATCTATGTATTTCCCATTCTGCAGTAATACATATATTTTTTATTTCACTACTCCTGATTCCAGTGCTTTTTTTGCACTTTCCCAAGGCAACCAGGATGGGAGATAACCTCTCAAAAGGCTAGAGATTTACATTCTGCAAATCCAGAAAGCTTACCCTAATCAGTACTTTTTGTTTGCAAGCCATATTCCTGGAGTCTCCAAGGTCCTTGAGAATTCACACTAAATTCTTTTTAATAATTAATCATCTGACTAAATAGCGGGTATGCCCTGGCCCTTTCCTCTCACCCTGGGGATCTTTGAGACATACCGAAGAATGCTTCAGCATCTGAACTCCCAAGTGCTCGCCGGATGGCCTGGGCAAGAATTAAATATCAAATACTTGTAACTGCTTCCAAAACTCTGCACTAATTTTCTGCAACCCAATTAGCAACATTTGGCAAAAGAGAAATGTCCTTCCTCCCGTGGAGTACTAGCAAATCACACGGTGAAAAAGCCAAATGGGCCATCAGAGGTCATTGAGTTTGTATCCCATTTTATATCTCAGGAAAACTAAAGACCATGAAGGTGAAGTGACTTGGCTGAAGGCACAGTGTACTGAATGAGGTTCAAAGCTGGCTGGCAGAAAAGAACACTGCCTTACATTTCCTGAGGAAAATACTCATCTCTAATAATTTACATTGAAAAAAAACTGCCTCAGCTCCTTTCCGGGGTGAACAAAGTGGAATACCAGTCTGCTATGTTACATCTCATCTTTCCTTGAGATGAAAATATTATGAGAATTCATAGTAAGTAATTATTGACTTCATCATTTTCAGGTAGCAGTGCTCCACCTTTTTTTTTTTTTTTTTTTTGCTTGTTTGAGACCAAGTTTCACTCAGTAGTTCAGGATGGCCTCGAACTCACTTTGCAGCATAGCCCGAACCTCCTGCCTCAGCCTCCCTGAGTGCTGGGATAACAGGAATGCACCACCACACCCAGCCTACCACATGTATGTGAGAGCCCAAAATCTTAAAGATGGAAAGAAATGTGTCTTTCCTGTCCTTGGAAAAGTTAAAAGCCAAGAGTTGTTATAGTACACACCATACTTGAGGGGTTAAACAGGCTGTGACCCTGATCAGTGGTCAGGCTGGAGAGAAGTCCAAAGAACAGCTGTGAAAAGTCAACAGTACTCCAAACTTCTCTCCAGCGGCAGCAAAGATATCCCTCGGAACGCTTAAACCGTGGAAGTCACAAGCTGCGGAACCAGTCCCAGCAGAGCAGTGTGCGCACCATGGGCGAACCCTGAGTCATGAGCCTGAAGGCACATGCGTGAGAATCACAAGGGAGACTTAGTGTCGTACGCTTTCCTGTCAGTGACAGAATGATAGCCAAAGGATTTCAAAGAATATCAAAACCAGAGAAACAAACAGATCATCAAAGAAAAAGTCTACTTCCTAAAATATAAATGAGAAGATCCATATAAATTAGAAGGAAAAGTTAATGCAAGTGGTCATGTCTTATAAAAAAAGTGACAGGATGATAAAATATTAAGATGCACAACATATACTGGTGGAAAAATCAAACTTAACTGCCTCCATCACAGCCTATCTATAGTATTTAACCGGAGGCATTTTTCTAGTATTGATAAACACCTTCAAATGAAGCAGTCAGTTTGATCAAATGCTTTATAAATATGCTAAAGCTTCACTGCAGAATCCTTGAAATGTAAATCATTCAAGAGGACATATTTTCAGAACAACAAAAAGATTGCCTTACTACACACCGGGCCCTGCATGCGCATGTGTGTGTTTATATCAATAAATATGGAGAGATAGAAAGACATAGATACACACATGCATTTAACATTCTGACAGAAAATCACTCTGAAATGTATTAAACTTTATGAGGTCTTCCCTAAAAGCACATTGGGCATAATGTAATTTTCCATGATGAGCCAAAGTCATCATTGTGAATATTAATTATTACACTCTGCTGCAATAAACTTATGTCTCCGAGGACCTCAGAAATGTATACTCTCTACTGCCCTTAAAATTACAGAATGTCAAATTAAACAAGACTTGAGCACTTATCCAACCTTCTCAATTACAGATAAGGACACTAATGTCAAGACAGGAGCAAGGTGACTTAATTAAGGGGCACACACAGTGACGCATCCAAGTCTCCAACTTTGTAACGAGGGTCCTTTCAGTGAACCCTCAGTGCATAACACCACAGTCTGCACTTGTCACTGGTTCAGCCTTTTATAGTTTTCCTCTCTCCTCCTTGGTTCTGTTTTGTGTTCTCCTCTTTGCTATTGTTGGTGACAAAATCTCCTTCTCCAGTGTAAGTGTGAATTCAGAGGAAGAGCTGAGCAGGTCTGGCATGGATGAGGGGTGGGACCCCAATTTATCAGAAGGTGAGGGCTGCCCAGGTGACATTTAGACTAGGAATCGTGAAGTAAATCAGACACACCAGCCAAAGTACCATATGGTATCTCTTATTTGAGTAAGGCAAAGTACAAATAAAACGCAAAGGAAAGGATGGATAGAAGGAAACAGGAGACAAGGGAGAGGTAGAGAAAGGAAGAGGTAAAAAGTTTTAAGAAATGTCATGCATATGTGCCAAACACCCACCATCAACGTAAGCATTGTACGTCTTAACATGAACTAACACTGAAAGCCACAGGGAGAATGCGGAAGGGAGATTTAGAGATGGAGGGAACTGGGTGGCGAAGGAAAGGAGATTAAGAAAGGTTCAAGTTGTGTTCCGTACATGCACATACTCCCTAAGGTGAATGAAAACTTCATGTACGGCAAACATGTGCTAACAAAAAACAGTCTACAGAGGAATCCAACCCAGAGCCCAGTCCAGCACTCAAATCAGATGTTGGAGCTGAAGGCACAAATCAGTATGAGGCGGGGTGCCAGGACCAAAACACCCAGGAGCAGCAGGTCCTGGAAGGAACAAGTCATGGGAGGTGGTGTAGGTGAATTCGGGTGACTCAGGTGTCTGTGCCTTCCTCCAATCCATTCCAGGGTGATTACGTTTTGAAAATAAACGCAGTGGAAGCCAAGTGGGGGAAGAGTGTCTGCTCATGCTTTTTTTTTTCATAGCCCCTCAGCCATCCTATTTTGAACCTGATTTGGGAAAGATCTCACTTCTTGGATGGCGATGACAGGTCTCGTGGGGATCTGTGTGAGCAGCTGCGGGGAGGGCCTCTCATGGAGGGACACAGCTTCAGGAGGAGGGGGAGGCCTTGGCAGTCCAGCAGTCTCACTGCCTGCTTCCTGCTGAACAGCTCCTCCAGACTTCATCCCAGAGCTCTCCAAGGCTTCAGAACAATTAAATTCCAGGTAGGTGCGGTGTTACTCCGTGTTTTGGTTTCCATGTCAATAAACAGATAAGTCCCAGGCCCTGGGACTAGGAAGAGGAGGAAGTGGAAAATAAAACCAGCTGCATATGAGCCTGTCTGTCCTACAGGAGGGTGAGATTTCCCTTTCAGAAAGAATTGCCCTTTTGTTTAAAATGATGATCCCGCAGGTAAATGGCCTGTGCAGGATGAAGCAATGCCAAGTTTGCTGCCTCTGATTAAAACTTCTTCCACTCCTCCCATCTCCGGATCTACTAGGACTGAGTCCTAAAACAAATTCTGTTCACTAAATAGCTTAGGTCTCCCTCTTAGAACCGGGTGTTCCAAGTGGTGTTCATGGGTCAGGTTATTGTCATCTCAGAGGAAAACGCTCCCCGGCTTGTGGGCAGAAGAGATTCCATTACGCTTTTTCCTTACACTTTCCTGTAGTGCCAGAAGGCTGCACAGTCTGGAAGACAAATTGGTATTCTCTGTAGGAACAGACAGGATGATTCATGCTGTGTGCTACATAATTAAGGTCTGTGAACTCAAAATGAGCAAACCAGGATGTTAGCAATCTTGGTGAGGGAATGGCTTGAGAGGGCAGCCATACCTTGTTCTTCACTGTAATCTCTTTGACATAGGACAGTTTAACTTCTCTGAAATAAAAAGAAATTTACTCAGAATAGAAATTCTTTTCAAGTTTGGCTCCCTTTCTCCTATCATGACAAATATATATGAATTTTTTATTTTACTTCCAGGAAAGCGGGCTTTTCTGTCATCCCTTGTGCTTTGAAGTGTACATTCATTCAATTCATATAATTATTAATGCCCTACAACAAACCAGAGGACTAAGCACTTCAAAGCCACAAGGGAAGACGATGTGGTTCTTGCTTTTACAAAAGTCTGTAGTCCAGTTGAGGGAACAGAGATGAAAACAAATTATAAGGCACTTACCTGGCTGGGTCACTATCAGGGAAATTCTATACTTCCAGCCTCTTCAGGTATGAAATGGCAACACTAATACTAATGGTGCAACTGTCATTATAGATGTGAAGGACTTAATCTGTGGAAGTCACTGAGTAATATGTTTGGCATATATTAGGTATATGACACATATTAGGCAGCAATAATCTAAACGAGCAAGTGTTCTAATCAAGGAATGAGATAGACTCACAGAAACAAAGAAAAGCAATGGCCACTCTGCTCAGAAGAAGTAACATTTGTTATTTTATGAACCGGACATGTGCTGCTTTAGGGCTGCCCAGCAAGCACACGTCCTTTCTTTGGCAACACCATCCGATTTCCTTGGACAAGGTGCCTCTCCCCCTCGCTCAGTCCATGTGTTTCGGAGGGAGTTTATTCCTCTTCTAGTTACACAGAACAGAAAGCAGGCTTTTCAAAGCTTTAGCAGAGTCTGAGTTGACGAATGGAACCTACATGAAAAATCACAGTGCATTGGAAAGTGGAAAGAACCAGTGAGGTCTTTCTCCTGTTGTGATTTTTTTTCTGAGCTTACTCAAAAGTGAAAAAGAAAGCAGGGCAGACAAGGAAGGAAACTGGATTCCAAGTTGTAAAACTGCCCCAGGGGTTTAAGGCAAGGATTCTACTATCACAGTTCTGTGATGTACATCTTTCCCCTCTCCTAGTATAACTTCTCCAACATGCAAAGGTCTACTGTGAGCATTTCTGTTACACAGCGGATCTGCAGCAGCATGCTAGCTTTGGCAAGGTGATTCATGCACAAAACCAACCCAGTCAAGCAGAAGTTCAGAGTGACAGGAAGCCAGGAGAATGCCAGTTACATATACAAGATTTTACAAGTTAAATCTCAAGAGGACATAGGACTGCTCTAGGGTACAGACAGATGACAGTGCCAGTTTTACCTACTGAAGGGGGAAGGGATATGTGACAGTTAAGCTGGGTTATCAACTTGACTGCCTGGAGAAACACCAAGGGTGAGAAAAGAACACCTCGGGGAGTGTTTGCTGGGTCCCTGGCCCCCTCCTCTCTGGGGCTGTTCCCCTGCTCTCCTCAGGTGCCAGGTACTGAATGGCTCTGCTCCACCATGCTCTCCTGCCATGATGGTCCTCTTGGAAGCTGTCCAGCACTGGACTGAACCCTGTGGAACTATAAGACAAATTCACCCTCTCTTCCTTCAAATGGCAGGTGTGGGGTATTGTGTGCCCACAATGGAAAACTTCTTAGTACAAGGTATTGTTAGTGAAATTTGTGCTTTATTTTAAATTCTGCTCTGGTTCATTTGAACTCTTGTGTGATAGACAGTTCCATCTTGAGTAACTTGCTTCCAGGTTATGAACCAGGAGCAAATATCTGCCACCCTGCGAGGTGCCTTTTTCAGAGATATAGCAATTGACTCAGCATCAAGCAGGTAGGTCATGTAATTTCTACCACAGAATCACAAGAAACTGACAGAAAACATTATCTAATCACTCTTATAGAATCTGGATGAGGAAGTTATTCAAGATTGAATCCTTGTGGCAGGAAACCAAGTATACACCTTTCAAGAGTAGCATTTCTTAAATTCTGAAGTGCATGAATGCATGCTAATATACAGACTTTCATTTGTTGGTCTGGGGTAGAACCTAAGTTTCTTTATTTCTAACACACTCCCTGATGACGCTGAGGTTACTGGTCTGGGATCCACAATTAAAACAGCAAGGCTGGAGCCCCTCATGAAATAACAAACAATACAGGACGTTTAAATTTATTCAATAAACTCATCTCATGCACAGAATTTTTGAAACCTGGAGTTCTTTGGCAGAAAAAAAGAAGTCACTTTCTGGAACCTTACTCTGTCTCACCACAGTCTCCGACAAGGGCAGAGTGGTGACCGGGCTCGCTTTTACATCTTTGGTAAGTGTCACATGGCACCAAAAACTAGGGATATTCTTCCAATATGCAATAGCAAGGACTAGAAAAAAATATAGAAAAGGAGGCGACTCTTGGAGAAATAACAGAATCTAAAAAATAAAGTTATCAATAACTACCATTACAAAGTTTGCCATCTTCCAGGAACTGTATTAAATATTTCATCACTTCAACTTTTAGTATCATGGCAATTCTATGAGGTAAGAATGATTGTTATTTCTATTTTTGAGAAGAGGAAACTAAAACCGGAGAGGGCAAGTTATTTACCCAGGGTCATACAGCTTTGGATAGGCATTTGAACACAGGTTCTCCTCCTGTACAGCACACACTTGAAGCCACACACTATCTGTTTTCTCTACTTCCTACTTCCACCACACCACCAAAGTAGATTTCCCCGTGGTGCAAGATGCAATGACATGTCAGTCTCTGAAGCAATCCTGGATGCTAAAGAACTGACCTTCCCAAGAATAATCTCATTATAGTGCTCTGATATTCAGAGAGGCTTGGATTCTTGGTTTGTGTCCTGTTTTCCTTGACTTCCTCAGTTTTCTTTCCAGAACCATTTTCTCTTATTTGTCCACTGAAAGCTGGGGTTCCTCAGGGCTGAGTCAGAAGCCCTCCTGTTTTCTCTCTGTAGTTTCTTCCAATAGATAATAGCAATCACTGTTTCATAATCACCTTTACTCAGAAAACTCCTCTCATCCATTTTATATTCAACCTGACATCTCTATTTTTGTGTCTGTAAAGCTAGAGCAAATGCAATAAATCTAAAAAATAAGATCAAGGTTTCTACCTTCATCTTCAACCTCCACAAAGTACACTCTAGCAGAAGTTGCTGTCTGTCTTAGTTACTTTCTTGATGCTGGGACAAAATGTCCAACACTCACCAGTGGAAGATTTATTTTAGCTCACGGTTGGTAGAGGTTTCAGTCCATAGTTTGCTGGCTCCAAGGCAGGAGGGGATGGCTAGTGGGCGTGGCAGAGGAGAAACACTTCAGGCCCGTTTGGCTGGCTCCTTGCAGCTTTCTCAGATGGTCCACATTCCTGGCTTCTCCAGCCTTCCAGAGCCTCCACTCCACCTTCAGCTTCACAGTCACAGCATCACACGCTTCCCTTTCAGGAGCACACTGGTTGACTCCTGAGTTTTCTTTTGAAGTCTGGGTGTAAACCTTCCTCATCCCGCAGTCAAGAAGAAGTGAGACTTCTTTTTCTTTCCTTTTTTATTCCATCGAGGTTACAAGCCTATTGGTTGGTGCCACACTCATGCAGGGTGGGCCTTTCCTCTTCAGTAAGTCTATCACCCACATCCAGAACTATGCTAAACCAATGAGTGGACTAATCCAGTGTCACGCCCGTGATCCCATCACCTCCCAAAATGCCCACCTCTGAGTGCACGAGGTTTTGGGGTAACATGTAGATATTGCATAAGCCATAATATATGCCCCTGGTTCCCAAAAGACTCATTTGCAAAGCACATTTAACCCATTTCTAAGAGTTTCCAAAGTCCCAAAAGTTTCAGCATGCTATAAAGTCTAGATCTAAATTTTCCTCTGTGATTTAAGGTGAACTCTTAGCTGAGAGCCCCTGAACAAATGAAAAGAAAGTTATAAACTGCAAACCCCACAATAACACAACATAAATATTCCCATTCTAAAAGGTTCAAAAAGGGGATAGCAGGGAATGCATCCAAAACAATTCCACAATCCAGCAGGGCAAACATTAAGTCCTATACTTCCATGTCCACCATCTAAGGCACTGTGGCACAATGTGAACTCCAGAGAGCTTGGGTGGCTCTGCCCCTATAGCACTTCCAGTGCTTCCTGTTGGGAGTACACCGAGTAGCCTCCCAGGTCTTCTTCGTAAATCTGGATATAAGCTTTCCCAACCCCACAGCTGTTGCATTCTTCATGAATCTAAAATCGACATCGTGTGGACGATGGTCTGCCACCAGCTGGAATAGTAGCCAGGTTTCCTTTGCTCTTGGCTGTAGGGCTTGAGGATCTGCATTTCTTAGTGTTATGAACTGAAACCCAAGAAACAAATTCCAGAGGCCACTCTCATTCTGAAACATGGTACTCTGAGGCTCTCTTCTTGAGCAAAGTCTTTCACCTTTGTAATTTTAAGGCTGCAAAGGGTGGAGTCCTGCTGGTTCTTGTAAGGCCCTCAGCTCATTTTTTCTGGTGTCCAAATCTAAAGTGCTTGACTTTTTGACAAGAATCTTTTCTGTGAAGATCTCCTCTACTCCATCTTTGAAGACTGCAACTTTACCAGACCTTCTTTCTGGCCCAACTCAAAGTTTTTTAATTCATTCTGCTGAGCTATTTGCCCTAGATTCTTAAGGTACAGCTGGCTAAAAGTCCTCAAGTGTATCCATGCCACTACCTCAACATTAAAATGTCTTGAAATTTCTTCTGCCAGATTAATTAGTCTACTAACCTTAATCTCATTCATACTCAGAACTATCTAAACAAATCAGTGGACTAATCCAGAATCACAGACCAAAGATTCAGTATATCACACTTATGATCCAGTATATCACAAAGATTTAATATGTCACACTCACTTTCCCAAAGCCCTGTCTATGATCACATGAGGCTTTGAAGGGACATCTAGACATAAGCTATAATACTGTCTGTGCCCTATCCCTATCCTCTTGTAATTATTGTTTCACCACATGCTCCTAATTTCTCACTGCTAGTATTTATTCCTTTGTCTGAATGTTTTCTCTGACCACTGGAGGCCACTGTACTTACCCCATGGCAATCCAAAGAATTGGAGAACTGATGTCTGCTGGTCTGATAATGATAGACAAGGGGAAATGGTAGGACAAATACCCTCACACTCTTTAGATGAGATAACCTGAGGCACATGTTCCATGCTGGCTACTATAGGCATAAGCTCTGGTACAACACAGTATGACAAAATTCCTTGATAATGTAACTTTTACTGCTGGTCTTCATTTCTTGGCCTCCCAAGGACATTGATGTTTCCTGGGAATAGTTCCCAAATAAATCACTTGCACTTCAACGTATCTTGTGTCTGGGGAACACCATACCAAGACATATCCTCCTTAGACTGTCTTCAACCTTGCCTTCTCAAGGCATGGGGTACCATTAAAGAAACCTCTCTAACTTGTCCCTTATATCTACTTCCACTGACTATAACTGCAGCAGCACCTTGATCTCTTCCACTATCTTCTACTTCACATCCACTAAATCCTATAATTCTGTCTAATAAATAGCTTCAAGTTGCCTACTTTTCCATTTTCTTCACAAACCACCTAATCTAATGAATGTCATCCCAGACCTAGAATAGAAAAAATCCTCTCTAACTTGTCCCTTTTATCCATTTTTGATTTTTTAATTCACTACTGAATTAATGCAAACTTGCCCCTATTCCTATTTAAATGCTTTTATGGCTTTGAGGCTTCTGATAAACAAGTTTAACCAGGGAACAAGATACTGTGGGACTTGTTTTTCCTTTCTTTTTCAGTTTCACCTGATATTAAACTAGGCGCCACACTCTGGACTACACCCACCCTGAATCTTAAAGCAGTTTGTAAGCATTTAAGTGAGGTATAAAACAATGTTTTTGGTCAAATAAGAATTTTATTTTAATGAAATGAGAGAGGAGAAATACATAAGAATGTTATTTGTTACAACTCTGTCCTCATTTGTATGTGTACTACATCATAATGAAAAGCATATTTGACATCAAAGATCACACTCAAAAAGAGTTTGAAAGTCTTGCCTTGAATATACCATGTCTTTGCCTGCCACTGAGCATCATCAGAAAGCCAAAGCTACCCCCTTAAATTAAAAGCCACTAAGAATGCAAATATTCGGCAACAGGATGGTTACCAACCATACCAAGTCAAACGAGATAGGTTAGGACGTCAGGTGGGGGCTCCCTCTGCAGCTGTTCCTTACACCACCATAGCACAGGTTACTGGACCTCTGCAGGAGACTCTGAAACACTGTGAAGGAGAAGTGGGAGAAGGACAAAGCTGTGGCAAAGAAATAATATTCAGAAAGCCAGCTCAGCAGCCCAGATGAGAGACTGTAAGCACATTTGTAAAGATGGCAGCCATGGGGCTGGAGATGTGGAGCAACCTTGAAGGATGCTACAGAGGGAGAATCTATAAGATTTGATTACTATGAAGTCTATCTCTTATATTTATTAGACACTACAAAGTGATAAATGAGCATTTTACAGTTGATTGACATAGACTCCAAGGCCAACTTTAACTGGGTAAGTACCTTGAGGCTGACTAAAAAACAATTTAAAAATCATTCCTACGTTTCTACCCACTAGCAGTAAGTATGTATGTCCAGTCTCTGTGTGTGTGCAACTTACTCAGTGATAAAGGAGAGTTCTTAGTTATGGGTAACCAGGGAAGATATAGAGGGAAGACTGTAGGATGGGGTCAATTCAATCTGCTTAATTAACAGGTAAAACAACTGAGGCCTAGAACTTCATTATCTTGCAAACTAAGAAGCAAAACAATAATCAAAGCTCAGGCTTTTAACCAGCTAGAGGAGCACTTGATCCAAAAATTTAGCATGGCAACATGTGTAATTTCTGAGCATGACCCACTTGAGACTTATATTTCCACATCAGCAAGACCAAGAAATTTCTCTAGCCCAAGTACAATCTTCCCAACTGGAACAAATTGTGGCGTGGGGGCACCACCATGTCACCACTGAATAACAGGCAGGTCACTGTTAAGCCAGCCGCTGACTTCAGACAGGGCTTCAAGATATATTTAAGTGGAGAAAAGTAATTAATTTGTAAAGGAGAATAAGGATAAGGAAAAGAGTAACTTAGATAGAAGAAAGGCAGTTATTCAAGACAGTGAGGGGGAAAGTGAAGGAACACAATCTCTGAGTGGGTTTGAGGGATAAGGGAGAAGAAGCATAAAAGAAGAATCTAAAACTTGGAGACTGGGAAGAAAGTCAGGGTCAGTGACCAAAACAGGG